TAAATAAATAAAATCTTAAAAAAAAAAAAAAAAAAGAAAATTAGACATTTCTCTGAGGCCATGCTGATAAGTGAGTGGTTTCCATTGTGCTGATTCCTCCCAAGGGCTACTTTTGTTTACCTTCCTTGATTTCCTTTAATGAAAAATTTAGAAGAAGTAGAAGAATTTGGCAACGAGATGTGGATGGTAAAGAAGGTGCTTCCATGTTTATCTCAGCTGTGTGCTTCCTAGAAAAGGAATTGGCGGAATTGCTCACATCACATGTTCCTCTTGTGTGCCGCTTCATTTATATGCTTTCCCATTCTTTTTATGAGGACTGTGAGGAAGAGGGTTAGCATTTGACAACAGCCTGCTGCTTTGCAGAATAAATGAGCTTAATTCCTGGTGCTATTATTGTGACTCATTTTATCCCATTTGAAGCTTTAAAGGATATAGCAAGTGCCTTTGAAGAAGTTATGATCTAGAAGGAGGAATAAAAGAAGTATGCCAAGGACTGGGAGACAAGTCAGAGTCTGATAAATGGAGGAGACGAATGCAAAGTTCTATGGGAGGGCGTTCGGGGGCGGGGGAGGGGGCATAGTATTATTTTCAGGACATCTGAAAAGGAGCTAATATTTGAAATTGGCCCAAATGAAAGGTAAGGTTTGACCAGCTTAATGGGAACAAGTACAAAATATCTAGGTGAAGAGAACAGCAGGAAGAAACACAGAGGGAACAGTAAATACAGACTCCATACAAGCCTATTATTTCCAGTAAGCCCAGACTGATACATAGGAGTTTTATTGAGATGGACCTCAACTGCCAGAGAGAGGAGTTGATATTCAGTGTCTTGAGTTACTGGCGAGCCAGTGGAGAGATTTAAACCAATGCTTTCATTGATTCCATGATTGGAAATATACATTAGAAATACTAGTCTGACATCAGTGAAAAGTTAGAGTCAAGAAGAAAAGCGTGGTAGATCTGGGCTGATGACGGAGGAGTGAGAAGAAGGGAATTAGGTGTGGAAGATCCCATAGTAACTCTAAATGCTTCTAAATGCTTATTAACTCATTTAATCCTTACAGCAACCCTGTAAGATACCATTAACCCCATTTTTCAGATGCTGTGGGGCCAGGTGACCAACACTGAATGGGTGGAGCAAAAGATCAAGTGTGCCTCGAAGTAACAGTAGCACACTTAAGGGGCAGGGAGCTTTGGGGTGTGGATATGGTGACTTGGCTTTTGGAATATCAAGTTCGAGTTATGTCTTAGACATGAGAACAAAGATGCCCAAGGGACAGTTAGAAATATGGGTGTGGCTTTCTGGACTGAGAGCAAATCCTGAAGTAGAGACTCAGGAACCAATTATATAATATTGATACTTGTCATCCCTGTGATCAGGGAGACTATCAAGGGAGAGCAGATGGATAAGACAAACAACAATGTTAAAAATAATGAGCAGTACCAAGAACTTCCTATGTGCTGGGCATGATTCTAAATGCTTATTAACTCATTTAATCTTTACAGCAACCCTCTAAGATACCATTAACCCCATTTTTCAGATGTTCAGTTCAGGGCAAAGAAAAATTAAGTAGTTTGCTCACACACCAATTGAGTGGAGAAAGCAGGCTTCACGCCTGGGCAGCTGGCTGAAGCCTAGACTCCGCTCGTAGTGTGAATTGCTGAAAGAGCCACACCCTAGAACATAGGGGACCAAGGGGAGCCCTGCCGTTGCAGGGGTGTGCAAGGGCAGCCAGCAAAGGGAGCTGTAGAGGGATGAGCACCCAGAAGAGGACGAGATGTGGAAGAAAAAAAAATGTGTCAAGGAAGCCAAGGGAAGAATTTTTTTCTACACATCAAAGTATTTCCTTCTGGAATTTCCATCCAGAAAGTTGTTCTGGGTCATGAAAGCAGAGTGTTGCAGGTTGGGTCCACGGAGGGCATGAGACACAGGATCTATTTTTGACGGGTGACCTTGTGAGAGTTTCTGATGTTGAATAAATGATGGGAACACGCAGCTGTAGTGTCAGGCTTATGGTTATTTCTTTTATGTTCCTTGCAGATGTGCTGCTTCTAAGGCCCTGTCAGGATGGAAATCATCCTAGGCTTAAATTCTGCATAGGGAAAACTGTATTTGTAGTGGAACTGTGGGATCTGATTAAAGGCAAATCTCTTAACCACTCCAAGAAAAATCATTGTAAAAAGTGCACTACAGAAGATCTACATCATATTTGAAATGTTTGATGCATGTATTTTATATTCATTCACACAGTCTTATACTTAGGCATTCTTGACCTTTCTTCCCAACAGAAACACACAAATCCATGCAAAAAAAAATAATAATAATTCAATAAAATAATTTTAATTGTTTTAATTAGTGAAAAGAAATGCAAATAGTCAACACCAAGAAAGATTGACAAACAGGTTTAAGCAGTGAAAACAACCCAGAAGCATTTTGAATCACGGTCAGTGCTGTCCAAATAGACATTTATAAATTCTCAGCATCTGGGGATCCAGCACTTAGACCGAAAAAAATATGAATAATGGATAAGGCTTTCTTGTACCTCATGGCCTTTTAATAATGTGAAAATACCAAAATCCTATTTATAGGTAAACGGTCTATCCAACATACTGAAGAGGCAATTAGTTCAGTCCCAGCAACACTGCCTAACACCCACACTTGAATTGGAACCTTGGTGCTGATTTTCAGAAAGGCCCTTTCTTACCTGAATTCTGCCTTCTTGGCACCCTGCCTGCCAAGGCCCACCAGTCTCTGCCATCTCCCTGCTTCTCTAACCACCATTGCCCATAAATAACCCCTTTCCAAACACCTCTTCCTCCTGCAAGCCCACTTGCTCCCCACACATGCCCTTCTTGAATCAGTAGTTCTCCAGCCCATGCACAGAGGACTCAACTGGGGAAGCCTTCTGCATGGAGCACTGGGTGTTATGCACAAACAATGAATCATGGAACACTTCATCTAAAACTAATGATGTAATGTATGGGGATTAACATAAGAAT